GGATAACGAAATTGAAACAAACAACACCGAAAAACAAATCTTCTGATTATAGATAACTGTAGCAGCCACACTTTATTAATTAAATCTGGCGCCATCGTCAAAGAGTTGTATTTAAAACACATATTCGTTATCTTCTTACCTCCCAATGTAACTAGTGTGTACCAACCACTGGATATGGGAATAATATACACGTTTAAAAGGTACTACAGAAAATTGTTTATTGGTACAATTATTGAACAGTACCAAAGCATGGTTGATAAACATCTCTCAGTAAACGTCAAAAAGATTGTTTCAATCGATATAGTTGAAGCATTTCCTCTCATTTCTGCAGCATGGGATTTGACAACAAAGGAAAGTGTTTTAAAGTGTTGGTTAAAAAGTAAATTTTACAATCCGAATTATGACAAATCACCGTACTTTGTTGCAAGTTCGGTTCCAAATGATGTTTCATTAAACAACACAACCGATGAAGAAACCATTGAAACTGATTTGAACAAAGAAATATCTAAATTAAAAAGAATGAACTTGATACAAGAATCGACTACCATAGAAGAAGTTATAGAACCAGAAGAAGAAAAAGATGCGATTGTTGATGCATCAGAAGAAGATGTTTCTCACAACGAAGTTGAAATTAGCAAAATATCTGATGAACTAAAAGCTTTGATCGAAAAGCTTGGTTCGTTGGATCTTACAGATAAAATGGGTATGTTTTACGCCAAAAGAGTACTGGAGTTGTTAAATGAAGAATTTGAATAGTTGATTTACCACACAGACAAATATGCCACAACTTACAATAATTTACAAAACATAATAACATTTTAGTTTTGATAAAAATTGTTTTATAAAATGTCCAGGTTTTTTCTCCCTAAAAATTAGAAAATATCCAGGTTTTACTGTATTTACTTTCGATAAAAACATCAAAAAACGAACTTTGAAAAAAAAACAAGTTCACTCTTCAATATTTTGATTATGTGGTTTAAATAATTAAGTGCCACATTAGTGATGCTAAACACTTGTTTCTTGATGAGTCCCCGTTGTTTATTTGCGATATAAACGTTGAGTTGAGTAGATATGGTGGTGTCGAAAGTGTTCTATTTTTATGAACTTTGTTAAAAAAACACATTTCGAAAAATATTAAAGTCTGATTTCTAATTAACAATATTCCAAAAATACAACAAGGAAATTTACTGTATCATTTTTTTATATTATAATATATAGTATCGACCATCGCTAATTAAAAACCATAAATACATAGTAAATTTCTTAGTAATTTTTGCCATTTGACATTCTCAAAGAAACACTGGTTGTCATTTTTTTTGCTTTTCAA